GCTCAGTGCTTTAGAAACGCACTATGTTAAAAATCTGCTCCCAGGCCCAACTTCTTAGCAAAAAAGGGCCAAGAACTGGCTTCAGTGTGAAAGGACCTTTCCCTAACCCAGTTCTACTTAGCTCCAGAAACTCCGGAATGATTCCAAATGCATGTGGGTGAAGGACACAGCCCTCAGTCTATCAGATCTCTGTGTGCAGGTATGGCTTGCCACCTGGTGAGGCTTCGTCCTAATGTGAGCACCCTGCATCGTGGGAATGCCCGCTGGATAGACAGCCAGACCCCTGAAGCTTGGGGACAACAGCAACCTATTCCCAACAAGTCACAGCCCCTTGTGCCTGTTTGCTGCTGTATCTGTGCTTGCTAGAGAGGGTGACGGCGGCGCTGAGGCCACTTCTGTGGACAGCCTGATGGAAAGCTCCCTCATCAACAGCAGAAAGCCGACATTTCTGCTCTGCCAGGCACTATGCCGAGAAGTGCAGGTAACGAGGGTTCAAAGATGAACTTTCTGATCCCAAAGCCATGGCTACTGAGTTGGAATTGACTCATAGTCGACCTTTCAGTGGGTTTTCAGAGACTGTAAATCAAGTGAGGACAGATTGCCCTCCTTCTGTGGAGCAGCCGGTGGATTCAAACCACATGCCTTTGGATTGGCAACACAACTACTTATCCACTAGGCCACCAGAGTTCAAGGAGCTTCTAGGCTAGTGGAGAAGACAGGCTGAATCTGCCTAGGAAAGAAAAAAGAGGACTTCCCAGAGGAGGAGGAGAATGTTCCAGGCAGGCGGGACTCAAAGGGATTACCTACCAAGGAAACAACATCTGCAAAGTCAAGATTTTGAGAGTATTGAGTTTGTCAAGTTTGTTTTCAATTTGACACCAAGTGTCCACCAGAGTGTTTGGATATGCCTACATTTCTTCATTTTTTAAAAAAATGTCCTCTCTCACTCCCTTTCTCTCTCCCTCTTCCCCTTCCTTCGTTTATTCAACTGTTAATGATTGGATAACTTGTTGCATATCAGGATGTGTGCAGGGCATTGGCAGGGTGATGGGTAGAACTGGAGCTTTTCCTGGGGTGCTGGAGCTGGACACAGACACAAGCTGTATGGTGCTGTGGTTGAGGTTTGACTGCTATCAGAAAGCTTGGAGCTTCTCTGCTGCAGAAATATGGGGCATTCTGTTTCCACCAAGCTCACCTCCTTGGAAACTCCTATGAAAGGGAATTGCTTTGATAGCAGTGTGCAAACTTTCCATGAGATGGATAGCTACAATACCCGGAACTATGGACTCAGACACTTCGATAATGAGGAAGATGGCATAGGCTGGGCAGGATTCTGTTATAGATAAGGTTGCTGTGAATCGAAGCAACCCGAGGATGGTTAAAAACAAGCAGGGGCATAATGTCCAGGACGCGTTTTATAGTTTAGAAAGACTTTAATCAGGAATTTCGGAGTATTTTGCATTTCTTTATGTCAGAGGGTAATGTAACGTTTAATGATTTTGTTTGGTAGAATAACAGGAAATTCCTGATGCTCAGCTTAGCTTACTAAAAGAAAAGCAGATTTTGAGCTTTTGAGAGAAACCAAAACCAGTCCAAGTTTCACTGAGTCTGTTTCAATTCATAGTAACCTCACAGAATGAAGGAAAACTGCCCTGCACGGTTTCTGAAACTAGAAATCTTTATGGGAACAGATTGCCACACCTTTCTCCCTGGTGGATTCAAACCACTCACCTTTATGAAAGGAGCCCAACACTTAACCCACCAACCTATCATAGCTCTTTTCTAAAAGAAAAGGTCTATGTTTACAAGTCCATTTCTTCTAAGTGTCCACTGCTCTAAGCAGGCATTTGTCAAAGTCATTGGTGTTTTGAACAACGATGGTGTTCCTAATTTTCTATTCTTCTCTCTCAAATCTGACATTTAACAGTTTGGCTCTCACTGGAGTGGAGTTGTTTGCTCCATTTTGATAATTAAGATTGCCATCTCCTAATACTTTATTTGTTGATACCAGCAGGCAGGAGATCAGGAGACATACAACATTAGGAAGGTCAGGTGTCAAGAATTTTCCAAGAAAATTCCTGAAGAGCAATGATGTCAGTCAAAAGACTAAGGTACACCTGAGTCAGACCATACTCTTTTTTAATAGCTTACTATGCATCTGAAAACTGGACAGTGAATAAGGGGGGCTGAAAACGAATCGATGCATTTGAGTTGTGATATTGGAGAAGAGGGCTGAATTTCCCCTGGATTACCAAAAGATACCTGTTGGAGGAAGTGGAACCAGAATGTTCCCTGGAGGCAAAATTGATGAAGCTTTGCCTCACATAGTTCGGACAAATTGTTAAGAGAGGGGCATCCCACTTGTAGAGGTGGAGGCTCAGCAAAGGAGGAGACCTTCAATAAGATGGATTGATGCAGTGTCTGTGGCAACGGATGCAAATGTGTTAAGGATGATGAAGATGGTTCAGGATAGAACAGAGTTCATTCAGATCTGTTGTTCATAGAGTGCTATGAGTCATGTTCCACTCAATGCCACTTAAGAACAACACACCACCACCAGTACCAGGCTGCTCCTTGGAGGCAGGGATTCTGAGGCTTTGTCTGACATACTTTGGGCATGTTGCAAGGAGGGACTGGTCCTTGGAGAGGGACATCATGCTTGGAAGGGTGGAGGGACAGAGAAAGAGATGAGATGGATTGATTCAGTGACTGGGGTAATGAGGGTAGGCGTGTCAGAGACAGTAAAGTTGGCACAGGATAGAGCAGGTTGTCAGGGCTATTGTACATGGGGTTGCTATGAGTCACAAGCAACTTGATGGCACATAACAACAACAACAATAACAGTAGCATCGTGCATGATGTGTTTCACTTCTAACTGAAAGATCTGCAGTTTGAATCCACTCCTCAGGAGGAAGGTGGACCATTTTTTGTGTAAAGAGTTACAGTCTGGGAAGACTGACAGAGAGTCACAGGATTTGGAATCAATTCAAGGCAGTGGTTTGGGGTTTGTTAAGACCTTATTTACACAGCAGCAATGATACACCTTGACAGATACCGTCAGAAGAGTTAGAATAATAAGAAGAGATAGAGTGTAAGAGAAATGGCCATTTGTAGCTGCACGTGACAGACTTCTGTAACATGTTATGCAGTATTCCTTGGATAACAGCACCCTGAACTTCCTGCCATTACAGAAAAACCTCCAGCTTAACATATTTATTTCCACCGTAATGAAATTGCCCTTACAGAGAACAGGAACCTAAGAAAAGTTTATGTATCTCGAAAACCAGAGATAATTTCCTATGTTTTTTATTGGAAGAAAACAGAAGGAAAATTCTATGACTAATAGGTCAGAGATGGACACTAAAAATGTAACCTGTTGTACAGTCGGTCACAACTTAAAGAGACCAGAGTAGAACTGCGCCATACTGTTCCCAAAGCCGTTAACTTTTGCTGTGGAAACAGACTGCCACATCTTTTACCTGCTGTGATGCTGGTGGATTCGAACCACTCACCTTTCAGTTACCAGTTGAGTGCTTAACCACTGCACTCCTAGGAATCCTGAGGTCGGGACTCATTGGTGGGCAGTCAGTTGTATTGCCTTTTCTGTTGAGATACAGAATGAATCTTTGGGATACATTTCATTACTGCCATTCTTATAAGAAACCAGGTTAATTGACCTAAAATGCCACTTACAATTTCCTTTTCTCATTAAGGTTCTCTTTGTGTGTGTGTGTGTGTGTTTGTGTGTGTGTGTGTGTGTTTGTGTGTATGTGTGAGATAAATTTTTTATTTTAGTAATATTTTTATTGTTATTTTTAATGGAAGTTTACAGAGACCTTGGATTTCCATTCATTCATCTTTGCACTTTTCTCCCTGTCCACCCCCTCACCCCCAGTTTGCTCTTTTCTTTGAAAAGTAAAAGAAAAATTCTTTCATTGTTATACAATCCCTCCCCCCAAGTCCACTTTACTGTGCAGCCTTCATTCTGGACTCCTGTCATGACAATAATACCTAATTATATATCCCTTTTAAACAGTTCTCTCCCTCATCTGTTTCAGTGTAGTATACATAATTTATCCCATCTTTCTCAGTTCACCCCAACCCCGATGTCAGTCCTGTTTTACAACGGTGGCACTATGCAGTATTTGTCCTTTTGTGACTGAGATATTTCACTGAGCATAACGTCCTCCAGGGTCACCCATTTTGTATAATATTTCATGAGTTCCTTGTTTTTCTATGCAGTGTAGTATTCCATTGTGTAAATATATTACAGCTTTTCTATTCATTCGTTTGTTGATGGGCACTTGGGTTGTTTCCAACTCTTTGCTATTGTGAACAAAACCACAATAAACATGGGTGTGCATAAGGCTCTCTCTTTTTATTCTTCATTCTTTGAAGAAGTTTCTGGGAGCTCAGACTTTCTTTATTAGGTCTGATTTGTTACTTAGAGCGCCCTTACCCTTCTCTGTCTTGGACCAGCAGTCCTGGGTGAGGGGACTCTAATTTGCTCGCTGTTCATCTCTGTTTTATTCTTTGACATCAACTAGACCTCAGTATTTGGTCAAGGTGGTGAGATGTCTCGCTTCCATTTCCTTCCCAAGTGGGACCATAGTTCTGTTTCTCAAATGTCACCTCTTGTCATGTATCTTTTAGTCAAACAGAGTACTTAGGTAGGCGCTAAAGTGTCAGTAACAGGGATGACTTTTGGAGAGATTTGGACTTTAGTAGAAAAAATACAAACATTTCCAATTCAATGGAAAACATATTTTAACAACTGCGACTCTGGAGTTCATTTTTTTTTTTTTTTTAGAACTCAGAGGAGCACCTAGCAACCCATCAAAATGCCTTCACTGCAGGTGGGGCCAACAAATTGTTAATCCTCAAATTTGAAAGCCGGCTTAAGCCAGACATCTGTGCTTTGTTTCTGACAAGTTTTGTGTTTCGTATTTATCAACAAACTCTCTTGTCCCCTCTCGCCCTCCCCCGCCCTGTGTCCTCAGTGGCTGTCCCCTCAGCGGCGCCTGCCTGCCAGCCCAAGAGTGCCACTAACGGCCACTACCCGGCCCCGCGCCTCGCCATCTCCTCCCGAGCCACGGTGGTCGCCAGGATGGAAGGAGCCTCCCAGGGGGGCCTGCAGACCGTCATGAAGTGGAAAACCGTGGTTGCCATCTTTGTGGTCGTGGTGGTCTACCTCGTCACCGGGGGTCTCGTCTTCCGGGCGCTGGAGCAGCCTTTTGAGAGCAGCCAGAAGAATACCATCGCCTTGGAGAAGGCGGAGTTCCTTCGGGATCATGTCTGCGTGAGCCCCCAGGAGCTGGAGACATTGATCCAGGTGAGTGGTGGGGGCCAGCCCCCAGGGCGACCTGAGGGAAGCATTCGTTGTATCTGAACCACTGACCTTTGCCTTTTGCTGAAGCATTCATGGCCATCTGGGATGCCCTCTCTTTAATTCCTTAGTATCTGGGGGTCCCCACAGTCTCCACACCAGACGTCTTTAGATGACACTAGGTGAGCAGGGTGCTGGGGTGTTAAGAGGCTCGAGTTTTGTTTTTGGCACAACTTTGCCATGTGACCATTAGCAACTTAGAAAGCTACCAGAGCCTCATACTCCCCAGTGGGACAAAATGATCGGACTGGACCACATCTCGGAGGTTCCTTTGAGGTCTCCAAAGCTATCAGGTCAAGCCACGATAAATAGGAGTGTCTGCTGTTCACCCTCAAAATAATAAATGACCCCAGCTCACTAGAAGCGAGTTCCCTGAAGAAGGCATGAGTGTCTGTCAGTCCCATAGATTTTGTTATCCTCTGGGACAAATAACCATGAAACCCAGTCTCGACATAGGCACTTAATTTCCCAAATTGGCAGGTGGCCCAATCCTCTAGTGGTCAGTGGGGAGCCAACGTTGATATGGGGCACTTCCATCATCATCAGCCTTTCTGCTTTGGATGCACAGAACAGAACTTGGAAAGGAAATGGGTTGGCCCTGACAGATGCCTCCTCTGGTTTCATGATCTGCCATTGTCTTCTCTCCCCCCACTCCAGACACACTGGCCTTCTTGCTGTTCTAGACCATTCTAAACTTGTTTCTGTCCCAGTGTCTTTGTATGAGCTGTCTTCCTGGGAGAGTGTTTTTCCTCTTCATGTCATCCCTTTGTTGACTGCGTTATTGAAATTAGAGCCCGATCCCATTCTTCCTTCATTCTCTTCCCCGGCTTTATATTTTTATTTTTCCTTAGTCTTTATCATTGTCTCTCACAGTGCTAGGTATTTCTTTCCCATTCGTCATCTGTCTCCTTCTCTAGTGTACAGTCACTGTGAAATCAGGATTATGGTCTCTTTGGTTCAGGCTTGGAAGGGTGGAGGGACAGTGCAGGAGAGGAAGACCTGGGATGCGATCGATTGACATAGTGACTGGGGTAATGGATTGTAGGTGTGTTGGAGATGGTGAGATTGGCTCAGGATAGGATAGGGCTCAGAGCTACTGTACATAGAATCTCCATGAGTTGCAGTTGATGCTAAGGCATGTAACAACAACAACAACAACAACAACAACAGGGAGCTCTTTGGTAGCATAGTGGGTAAAGAAAGAGTTGTGCTGCCACCCCAAAGGTGGGTGGATCAAATACTCTGGCTGCTCCACAGGAGAAAGATGGAGATCTGTCCTCCTCCTGTGTGATTTACAGCCTCTGAAAACCCACTGGCAGGTTGGCTCTGAGTCAGTTCTGATTGGATGAGTGAGGGTGTGCCTACAGTGAGGCACTCTGGTGGTCTAGTCCATAGGAAGTTGAGCTGCTGACCCAAAGGTGGCAACTCTCTGGAGCTTTAAATACTCCAGCTGCTCTGTAAGAGAGATGGGAATAGTCTCCTGTGCAGTTTACAGCCCTAGAAACCAGATGGAGGGTTGCAGTGATTCGGAATAGACTCGATGGCAGTGAGGGAGGGAGAGCTGCACCAATGACAAAGGCAGTCCTCAGTAAATATCTGGGAGATGTTAAGAGGCAGGAACAATCCATGTCTGGGAGGTGTTAAGAGGCAAGAACAATCCATGGGTGTCAGGAAAGCAGACTCTATTTCAACACAAAGATGTGGTCTTTCTAAGCTTGGCTCTAAGAGGTGTGTCTGAAAGGCAAAACTACACTCCGGTGCTTGGGTCTCTTTAACTCTCAGGGCTTAATCAGCCAAGGGAAAATAAAACTCGGAACTCACTGAATGGCTTCTGGTGTGATAAAGCAGTGCTTCCTCACAGGGATTCCTTGGCCGAATCCTCATCAAAGCAGGCTTCCAGGCCTTTCTTCTGTGGTCATGCTGGGGACTGGTGTGTGTGTGTGTGTGTGTGTGTGTGTGTTTCCAACTACCACTTCTAAGGTTAGTTGTTGAGGGTAAATTGTACCACAGCCAAGTCACTGAATTACTTAGCAAATGGAAAACAATTCTGGGGACATTTCTAACTTTATTTCTCCTTATCACTGCTCTCCTTTTAATTGTCTCTGTCCATACATCCATTTAGCCAACAAACATTTACTGAGTACTAGATATAGGCCAGGCTTTGCAAGGTGTTAGGACTAGAAAAGATGAATAATGAATACTAATTCACAGCCAAGTGTGAAATACTGAAATAAAGAGAAATATTAGCATGTTAAATGAAGAATAAAGTGGTGGTGGTGGTGGTGGTGGTGGTGGGGAAATCCAAGAAGAATGTTAACTTTGCTTCCAGCTGGCAAAGATGGTGAAGGCTTGGTCTCAGCTGAGTTTGACGGAATGACGTTGAGTCCTGCAGGTGCTGGCACTGATTGCAGGAGGGAGGGTCTCTGCAAAGCAACTTCCCTAAGATTCCACTCAGTCTTCTTACATTGGCATATTTCATAGAAAACACACTCTTTTATGATGCCTGGAGCATTTCTAATGTTTTACAATGTTTACAGCTGACCAAAAGTTTCACAACGAGCACCAATGGCAATGTACTAAAAGTCAGAGGATTATAGAAGTGAATAGAAGAATTAATTAAAAGGAAGACCAATTGGTGTGCATTTGTTCTATGAGGCACCAAGACAATTAAAGCATGAGACTTTGGAGCAAGGACAGGTTGATACTCAAACTACAGGAAACTGGAGAGAAATAGGTTGTTGTGGCTAGCGGCTGCTGAGTTGGTGCCCAACTCTGACACCATCTCCATAATAGTCACCAGAGGATTGGATTGTTTCTTCCATAGGACTTTCATTGGAAGACTTTGCGAAGTAGATCACCAGTGCTTTTTCTTTGTGGTCTTAATCTGGAAGCATCATATGTATCTGTTCAGTATCAGAGTAACACGTAAACCTCCACTGAGGCACAGGTGGTGGTTGCATGTGAAATCCCACAGTGGCCACCCCCAGGTTTGATGGGACTCATAGGGAACCTGGAGGATGATGAGTGGACATCTCCCTTAGGGTTCCAAGGCCTGTAAATGTTTACAAAAGCAGATTTGTCTCGCCTTTCTCCAGTGGATGAAGAACCACATAGAATTGAAGGATTGATAGCAATCTCTGCCCAGTCTTCAAGACACAGTTTAGATTGAATTTGCTCCAAGAACTTTTCTCTGCTAGATGCTGGGGTGCAGTGATATACTGCCTAGATGGGTATGACATTGTCAGGAGTGAGAGAGAAAAGAAAGTGAGAGAGAGAGAGAGAGAGAAGGTGAAGGAGAAGGAGAAGGAGAAGGAGAAGGAGAAGGAGAAGGAGGAGGAGAGAAGAGAATGCGTGCTCAGCTGTCAGACAACTTTGGGAATCAACTCCCTGAAGTTTTGCTCCCTTCCTCAGCTGATTACTAACCCATTACTCCTCTGGAATCACCAGTTCCTCAGCTGGGTTTGCTGGTGTCCTGCATGGAGACAACACTGCAGATTGATTTCTTCTTTGCTCCACTTCTCTTACCCTTTCATCAGTGGTGATCCCAAGGACATTACACCTTACGCTTCCTCAAGCTGATCTCTCTCTCTCTCTGAGTTGGCCTACTGGGGAGTTCAGTTTGACATTCTGCTTAGACTTGTCTTATTTCCATACTCCCCGGGTGCTTTATTATGTTGCTGTTAGTCTCCTTTGAGAGCTGACCTTGTGTTAGAGAGAGTGGGTGACCCCACTCGTGCTGTGAACTCCTGGAGAGCAGATCTCTGGACAGCAATGTCTTCTTTATGACACTGTTATCCTTGCTACAATGTGGGCATTTGTTGTGTTAGCTGCTGTTGAGTCTATGTAGACTCGTAGTGACCCACATAACAGAGTAAAGCTGCCCTCTAGGATTTTCTAGGTTGTAATCTCAATGGGAACAGATAGCTGAGTACTTTCCTAAGGAGTCGCTAATGAAGTTAGACCACCAAACTTTCAATTAGCAACCAAGAGCTTTACCATTGCATCATCAAGGCTCTTTCCTAAAGGAATAGAGCTACGTACCGGGATTTTAAAATAAATAGAGATGATTGGAAAGCTGTACCCAACAATTTTTAGTAGCAAGTAAAACTTTTATACCTTAACAGTCAAGGGTCATGTTTCTTATCATTTGCACATAAAAAAGTTGATTCTTGTATATTGTGGGGTTTTCCCCCTTACAATCATGTTACTAATACCAACATTTGTGAAAGTGTGTAAGACAGCTACTTTATGCACAAAATATAATGTAAGTGAAAGATTATATAAAACACAGTCTACATGCATGAAATACAGAGTTTATGAATGATAAAAATGTTAATTAAAAATAGAGTAGATGATTTCACTGGAGGTTGCAAGGCTCTTGAAAAAGGATAGTTGTAACTTAGCAACTGACTTGGTAGCAACTGGTTTGGTTTTAATTTTTAATTATGCCTTATTAGAAATAAAATCTTGATTTTTCCATTTATTAAAAACAAAGTCTGTTCTTTGGATAATCTTAGACTTTTTCCATCTTATGGGAAAATATACCAAATTTGTGGTACCAAGTGTTGTACTACTAACTAGTGGTATTTAAGACATGAAATTCAGAAGAGCATTCATTATTGGTTAGGTCAAGACTTCAGGACATTCTAGTAGCATATTGCCCAACGAGGGACGTGTAAGCGATCAGTGTGGCTTGAACAAGAAGACATGAGTGGATGTGGCAGCAAGTGGGATTGAATGTGTCATGGGGCTTGACTAGGATATTTCCTAAGCACTCTGCTGAGCCTCTTCAGCTTTTATGTTGCAGACAGCGGTGGCGGGGGTTGGGAGGGCACTGAAAAATGTAAACTAGGCTGTAACATGATGAAAAGGTTCTGCTAGAAAGAGATATCCTTTAGCAATGGGACAGTTTGGAGGAGAGAGAACTGGACAAAGGAAGAATCGTT